GTTATTGAAGTTTACTTACTCATTTTAATTTTCTTGTAACGCGTTGACATTTTTATACGAATACACGTTTATTGAGTGAGTCAGTCGAATTTTTACCCTTTTTCTATGTTATAAAAGGCTTATAACGGTAAACTAATTATAACTTAATCATGGTTGACCACCGCAGATTGGGTGTCTAGTGCCTGTAATTTCACCTATGCGTGAAATAAAGATCATCTACCTCCTTTGTAGTAATATGGCACATTCGGGATAATACGTGAGGCGCACTGTAAGTTTCCGGCATGAATAAGAAAAAAATATTATAAATGGTCTGAAATGAATTTACTGTTTCTCAAAATACTCCTCCGTGACAATCTCTGAAACATATTTTTCATACTCTTCGACAGCCTCTTCAGGTGATGTAAAAACAAGTGACAGTCAGATGATACAAACTGTTTTCTACAGCCAAAGAGTTCCATTTTCAATTGTTGTTTTTTACTACTTTAAATTTTTATTTTTAAATTTTAATTACTTTTTAAATATTGTTTATGTAAGTGGCCAGTTCCGGAAACTTATAGTGCGCCCTATGTAAATTGACTAAATCGTCGGTTAAAAGGTAAAACTCACTAATAGCCTAATTGGCCAAAGGGAGATAATTAAGATTTTGTATTTTTTCATTATGAAAAATCACTAAAGGACTGGTATGTATTAAAACATGAAGGACACCACAGACTTACTGAATTTTTCTTGTCATAGATGTTCTTCCCAATAAAGCAAAATTGAAAAAATCTAGTTTTTGAACAAAATGTCACTTAATGAGTTTTACCTTTTAACCGACGAAATTGCAAAAGTGACATTATTGGGAAATGACCATTGACTTACAAATAAATGGACGACGGGTCTAATACAAAAACCACGAAAAAAATGTCCCAAGTCAACCTATTCGAAATTTAAATTGTAATGTCATCGTAGTATCGCGCTGTCAGTCGAACAAATGAAGACTAAAGCGGAGTTTGGCGCTCTGTATACGATTTTAGCGCCTTACAAGTGCGGACACTTTTTAGCGCGGACCCGACGTCCATATAATTATAAGTCAATGGAAATGACAAAATATTTTTTTAAAGTACGAAATAGAAAATAGAATTTTGTCATTTTGTTATTGTCACGTATGTTATTTTTTTAAACCTATTTTGCCACTTACGCTACACTTACATTTTTAAAATCAAGTGACGATTTTTTATTTTGATTCGGATATTAATACACGCAAGCAATAAACACCATGATTTCGACTTTATTTCACGTAGTTTTAAACCATGTAAATGTCCAATTTTTTTATATCAACAGCAGTTTTTACGTCTTAAATGATTTCGTATTTTTTTAATAGCGTGTACTGCAGCGTAGATTCAGTCATTTGTGTACTACAATGCAATTTAGAATCTAGACTTATACATATAGTTATAGCAGCATATATAAGCTTCTAATAGATGTATGTATATTTGCTGTGGTTATATGTACCCATATTTACAGTGGCAATTAAACTCCACGTAACTTTTATGGCAGCGTGTCTATGAATGAAATACGACGACTTTGAATGAACGAATGATTATTTAAATTTGTCTAATCACATAGCACAGCATAGGTGCAATGTGATTCAAATATCGTGTGAAGGTTGTTGTTGGGTCAAGGTCAAGCCTCATGGAGAATTCTGGTGATTGATCTTGTGGATTTCAATTTGTAATTTTGTCTATCTGTTAATAGGTTAAGTAATTTTATATCTTTACGCTTTTGTACCAGTAGTAGCTTTTTAGTAGCAGTAGAATTCAATTTAAAAGAGTTCGCCCGGGGAAGTACTGCCACCTTACATATTTCTGCCGCCAAGCCGTAAATATAAGCATTACAGCGTTTCGGTTTTGAAGGGTAAAGGTGCTGGTGAAACTACAAGCACGTGGCACTTTACGTATCAGACTTTCGGGTGCACTCATAGACACCCTTTTTTCTATATCTATGGGTGCACTGGCAATGCCCCTTAGATCTTTGCGATTTAAGGCTCTGAGTGGCAATGCAACTGTTCTCTGTCTGCAATTGTCTCGTCACTTGATAATCATAATAAAACCTCTGTTGCTTCACTTACATTCATTAATCTTTCCATACAAATGTAATTCATCTCAATATGCACTTCAATTTTTTTAAGAACATTCTCGACTTGATCCGAAAACGTCCTTCGTGGCTGTTCTCTTCCAATGTCGCCTTCCACAATGGTTCTTTATATTTGTTTCGCCACACAACTTTCATTCATCTCGTTTGGATACATTATTTATTAACTATGGTAGCGTAGTCGGGTGTTCTGGGTTCATTCTCAATCATGTTTATTTATCATTTGATTTTGCAATCAAGAAAAGTATAGCTATTAACCCTGCATGCATATGACACAAATAAACATTTAATTTAATTTTAATTCGAACACACACGGAAACTCTGCAGCCGATGTTCAAAATTTAAGCTCGTAAAGAGTTGTGGAATTCGACTTAAAATGTAGATTTCTTTTTTTTTTCATGTTATTGAACAATTTTATCAAAAGCAGTATAACCGGATAGAATTAACCTTTACTTTACGTCAGAATTGGGCTTTGATCCTTGATTTATTTAGATAATTATTATTCTAGTCTTCAAATCCATATGTAGTACATACATTTGAATATATATACATATAAATCGTATTTATTAGACAATCGAATGTTCGATAAATTTTGAAAGTTCATAGTACAGAAATAATACAGATTAACAGAGAAATACCTTTTGGCTATTATCACCACTAACCGGTTAAACGGCGCTTTATTAATGCCGGATTTAAATCGGGTTAAAACCCATTAATGCCCGAAATCGAGGGCAAAAACAACTAAGTATTTGTTGTAAATCGAGTTTTGTTCAAATTTAATGATATTGAGTATTACAAAATGTTCGACGATTTGATTTGCCTTTCTATGGAATCGATTCACTTGAAAATCATAACAAAACATCGTTAGATCGTATGCACCTGTGTGCATCCTTAGCAGTGAGAATTCACAGGATTGCAAGGTAGGTATTGTGTGGAGGTGCCTCTTTTTCATCTAAACAAGGTTTTTACATCGAAATTTGTAGTACTTAAGTATGGAATTATACCAATCGTACTCGTCTTTTCTGCCCACGATTTGGGAAATGAAATTGGTAAAACTCTTTGGGTTAAAACCCGGGCGTATTGATTGGGTTTAAACCCACTGCCCATCTCTGGTTCCAGTGCTTGTAGAACCCATAGTATCCCTTCCTATTAATGGTTAAGAGGTATACATGAAGGTACAAAAACTTCTCATGAAAAAAAAATCAAAAAATGTTTTAATTGAAGAAACAATCTTTACAATTTTGTGGCTCGAGAATCACTTTTAAGTAATAAATTATACTTGTGCTAGGGATTCTTGCTCTTCTTTATTCTAAACAATATCTAAATTTAAGATTGAGTGATTGAGTTTAAATAATATGGCCTTTAATTTGTACAAAAGGACAAAGAAAAAAAAAATTAAATTAAATATTAAACAATAATAAATTTTAATTTTTCTTTTCTTTGTTCTTAAAATTAATTAATAAAAAGGTTTATAGACAGGCTTGAGACGCATTGCCACACTCAAAGCCAGTCTATCCCATGTCTATCCCGATATAACTAACTCCCACTCTAACGGGTCATGGTCCAAAAAGCACCTTGTCAATTTAGGTATCACAGACAGCCCTTTATCCAGAGCGTACATAGAGGGAGAGGCAATAACCACGCACATCCAAATACAATGTTCTAGCGTGGCCAACTACAGAGAAAAATACCATGGAGTGCCCAGGCCGTTTCTCGAAGTCCTTAGCAGACCCAGGAGGATGCCAAGATTCTTGGAAGAGCTCAGGTGGCACGAGTTGAACCCTGCACATACCACACGCAAAGGCGCACAGATGTCGCAGTACGGACACTGCTGCGCACGGGTCCCTAAGAGTTTATGAAGCTGGTTTCATCCTTGTAAACGTCACAAATATGTATAATTATGTAACTTAAAAGCCAAAGTTATAGGTATAGTTCAGTGGAAAAAATTCTATTTTCACGTTTAAGGCAGTTTACGAATTTCTACCGCCAAGCAGTAATGTGAGCTTAACTGCGTTACAGTTTTGAAAAAAAAAATAGATGGTGTAATTGAAAGCTTTTATTGTAAAGGGTTGTAGACGGTATGTGTTTGCTATTCATTCCTAAAAACATTACATAAATGAGATCTCTTTACTAATTGGGAAAAAGAACTAATGAAATTGAAACAGATCTTTACGAACTACTCTAGATATGTTAGTTTTCAAATGAATGAGAAAACCTTTGTTGTCACTCCATCCGTTTGTCCGACATACATTTCTGTCCCCAATCAACAAAAGAGCATTTTCTTGGGAATATACCATCAAGAAAAGCCCGTCAGTGGGTAAATATAATGGACCCTGTTCCAGTCATGGAACTCAGTGTCCACTTTAGGAACAAATATACGGTAAGGCAGTAGGTATGTAGAATTGCAAGATATCCGTATAAGTGTAAGTGCATCTAGATGTGACCTTTTGTGAATTGGAGCGAAAGAAAACTTTCAATGTCCTTTGAAATATCCACTAACTTTGCAATAAAATACGCAGCTATTTATGGACCGTGACGTGGTATGACAAATTCTCCATATTTGAATTAATATGAAAGAAAATTTGAAAAGAAAAATATTTTTAGAGTTAGTAATAAAAATACATTTTTCTAATAAATTCTAAAACAAGAGAAAATCTAAACACATTTTCTTGTATGTTCTAATTTCTCGGTCTTACAAGAATACCTATTGCCTAACTTTTTGTCGTTCACAGAACAATCTACATTTCTCATGGAAAAAAAATCTACATCCTAATTTCACATCATGTACGTAACGCAAATTTTAATAGGTATATTTACAAACTGTTATCTATTTGTTCGGTAAAGGTACGAAATGAAAACAAACTCACATTGAGAACTCGGTAGGCCGAATCCGTTCACGCACTGTCACAACACTGAACCGACTGACCGCGTGACCGAGTGAAGGCAAACCACCACCACTTGAGCATGGTTGTTGCTTGCATAGCGCCTTATAAAAAGTATTCAGCAAAATATATACATTTTGCTTATTAGAATGTATCGTTAAAATACCATCGGGCGTTTAAACTTCGCTTGTACATATAATGTATTATATATATAGTAGAGTAGTAAGTGTTAGTAACAGTTTAATCTGTTATGAATCTTTGAGTTATGTCACAGAATATTCTTTATACTAGAGAAAGATTAGTATAGCCATCGAGTATTTTGTTTAGTGGATGGACAAGTTTAGTAAGTTTTTCTATGTATGTGCTGATGGTGTATCTAAATAAATAAATATATAAGCGGTGTTGCTGGGCACTGAGGCCCGCCAAGAAAACTGCTGGAAAGCGATTAGGCAAAGCTGAAGCAGCCGCTGACGCGTTTGAATTTTTATAAATAAGGAGGGGAGAGTGTTTTTCGCAAGTAAATACAGGATTTTTGAAGACAGAGGACTTCTAAAATTAACGTAAAGATGGCAAAAAATTGCAGATCAATATTGGGAATACTTAATTAAAGTTTAAATATTTTATAATATGTTCCATATACAGTTACAGTACTGTTGGTTATTGTTAAATATGAAGTCGTTCGGACATGTGGAAGTAAAAAATAGTACATTATTGCAGAGGCCAGGAACTAAGGCATCCTCCCTGGCACTCGGTCTTGTATTAATACGAGTCAAGCAATCCCTGTTCCCGCTGAGGCTTATATGGTGCTTTTCGAAAGGAACTAAAACCGAGCGTACTACTGGCTATTTGAGTTTGTTCAGTTGAAGTTAATTAAAAAATTAGGTAGGGTAGGGTGGTCGACAGTGGACCAGGTGCTATACTATAAATCGCGTCAATATTTGAATTTGGTGCAGATCGCACCAGGTGAGCTTCTACTATAGGCACCTCTACTAGCTTCTACTAGCGACACATATGCCCGAGGGCGTTGATGTTTTTTATTTTTTACCAAACAAACTAAAAAAAACACGAGAGAAACACTTTTGATTTGTATACGGAGTAGCTGCATATTAATAGATATAATAGATTAGTCGTCAATGCATTTTTTATTGAGGTAGTTAAAATAAGCAACGGGTTTTTCGGTACGTTGCTACATAATCTCAAATTTACGACTGAGGGATGGAGCAGAATGAAAATGTACGCAATGAACCTATGACAACTTGTGATATATTAACATTGACTTACAATTATATGGACGTCGGGTCCGCGCTAAAAAGTGTCCGAACTTATAGGGCGTTAAAATCGTATACAGAGCGTCATTCACGCTTTAGTCTTCGTTTGTTCGACTGACAACGAAGCAAGCAAAATTAGACAGTACTGCGATGGCATTACAATTTAAATTCAACGTTTTAGCTTTTTCATATTCCTTTACATGTCACTACGTTTAAATAGGTTGACTTGGGACTTTTTTTCGTGGTTTTTGTATTAGACCCGTCGTCCATTTATTTGTAAGTCAATGTATATTAAACATGAAAATGTTGTCTGCTAGTTAATTATAAAAAATCGCAAGGTAAATTCAAAACAAACCTATTTTGAATTGGTGAGACATTCTTTTTTCTTTATGTTTTTAATAGTTTGTTTTTTTTTCAAATATGTTTAATATTTCTGTTGGATGCCCAAAACTTGTTGTTTTCAATAATTTTAGCAAAAATCGCGTTGTATTTCAAAGTATTTGTACAAATTCACTAGAGTTTGCTAAGGATTGTAATAATCATGTCCATTGCGGCACCTTTGGTTCATTGTGTTGTTGCTTTGGGGTAATGCCGCCGATATCAATAGAATCTTTGTCCTGCAGAAACGTGCGGTTAGGGCAATTTACAATCTGGGCCCCAGAGAATCTTAGAGAGATAAGTTTAAGGAAATTAACATTCTTACACTAGCCTCACAGTACATTTATGAAAATGTAATTTATGTTAAAAGGAATAGTAATTTTTTTATGAAAAATAGTGACAGACATAACATTAATACGAGGAATAGAAATAAACTAGCTTTTCTTGACAGTCGTCTTCACAAAGTCAAAAAATCATTTAAGGGGCAATGTATACGCTTCTATAACAAGATTCCGGTTGATATACAAAATTTGCCTTTCTCGAGGTTTAAAACTATAGTGAAACAAAAACTTTATACTAGAGGTTATTATACAACTTCTGCGTACTTGGATGACAAAAATCCGTGGTAGTAACCCGTTTAGCTCATGGAGGTAGTCTCGATCTCTGATGTTTCAAATAAAAAAAAAATATTGTAAATGTTATTTACAAAGAGCAACCCCTAGAGTTTCTTGCTCATTCTTCTCAGGGGAATCTGCCTTACGAATGAGCGGTTAACCATGAGAGTTTAACCATTGTGACGATTTCAAGTGTAATAATGCTTACCTATGAAATAAAGATTATTTTGAATTTGTGTACCAGCCTGCGGCTCAATGAGTAATGAGGGTGCACAGTGAACCATTTCTCATTTAAAAAAAAACATATTTTCAGAAGTCCAAGTGACTAAGACAGAAGGGATGCAGTCGTATTTGGACAACAATGAAGTAAAGTTCTAAGCAAAAAGTGTATATATAATATTTAGGTCCATAGATACAGACATAAATTAAATTAAAAATGAAATTGGACTTTATTCATTAAACACATTCTTATGTACATAGAACATCACACGATATTATGTGCTAAAAATTGCTATGAGTGGTGAAAAGGACGAAGCCTCAGTCAAACATCATTAATCTAAAATCTAGCTAATTATAATTATTAATACAAAGATCGAACAATCAGAAAAAGCACTCAGAAAAAATTCCTTCGATCCGGTCGGATTCGAACCGACGTCTTCTTGCATACCGTGCCAGACGCTATACCAACTAAGCCACGGAACGAAGCAACGGACCTCACGAATTTTTCTATGTGCTTGCGTCGTGTCTTTGTACTTGGTCTTTCAACGACTTTTTAGTCGTAGCGCCATCTATGAGAAATCTTTGACAGATTTATCACCCAGTTAGTACCTTTACAGCTACCAGTCCTGGCGAGAGATGTTGCTATTCACTGCATTAATTAAATTTTTAAAATTATAACAAACTAGTGGAGTAATTTCACAAAAAGAATTGAATATCAATTCAATAAAAATTTAATTAAAATCTAGCTATTTATTTATTGGTTACAAGTGATAATATTACACACATCAAGCAAAAACAAACAAATGTAATCAGGACGACAAAGGGACAAAAATGACTGTTATCAGACTATACGGATTACAGCAGCAACATGACGACTTCTGTTGCAAAATAAGCCATTCCTTGCACTTTTGTTTGAATGTATAAAAAGACGTAGATACAGCTTTTGAAAATTTAGGTGGTTCATTGCCGACTATCCTACCCATTGTCCTTTTTGGAAGGTTAATGATCCTACCCTACTTTTTACTCACTAAGGCTTAAAGGGTGCACTGTACTTCCGCTACGTAAGGCTATATTGACGTAGTTTTAGAGCAGAGGCTCCCAGACTTTTTTCTCATAGACCACTTTAAAAATTTTGATGGTTCCGGTGGACCGTTGCAGCTACAGCCCTACCATAGTCCATATACATATTGTTTTTGTCACGCCAATGTAGAACCCCGTCGAGTCTCTTGTGGACTCCTGGGGCTCCACCTGAACCACTTTGGGAACCAAGGTTTTAGAGCATAAGAAGTGAAAAAAAAAAAAATGCTTATTTTTTTAAATCCACAATAATTATAAACCATATATATATAGTTAGATGAGCAATTACAATCTTCATCACATGAAGGCCTTGTCAGTTGTGGCTTACGGCTCTTGACAAACGCACGAGTTGTTATTTACAAAGTAACGTCTGCTCTTTTGCAAGACCAATAATAACCCGTAATAAGTACGTTAACGTTGTAATAATACGTGATTAAGCAACTTTATATCCTGTTTTTTTTTACTTAGGTAAGTTAATATTACTTCCTAAATATAATAATATTAATTTTAATCGGTCTAGGTTTTATTCGATTCCCGGTTGGACCAATTTAGGAAAAGAACTTTTCTAAGTTGGTTCTGATCTAGGCGTTCTGGGCAGTGTCCCGGAGTTTCGGTAATTATGTGTGTACCTATAGAAATTTTCTAGTTAAAAGGTAGCTTGTGTAGTTGTATGGCACTCCATTATTTACATTTATAATTAAGGTCTCCATGACAGTTGTTGTCTTTAACTAATTTTCTTTACAAACAGACAACTGTTGAACAAATTTAATCACTTAAAGTCACTGATAGATAAACGTAGTTTACCGAAGTGCATTATAACGCGTTAGTTGATTCTTTGCTGTGTTACGGACTGAGTTGTTATGGCCGGACTTTTGGATTATACTTCTATTTAGTAAGTCGTAAAACCAAGTATAGTTGTAAGGTGAAATGAAAACCATTATAAAACTGAATTTAAAATTAACGTGACGAACAAGTATAATACTAGGTGAGTCCGTGAAAATAAATGTCTAAAAGTATACAACTATTATGGTAAAAGAACAAACTGACATTTTTTGCCAGTTATATTTAACGAATTAGATTTTCGTAGAGGTCAAAGTCAAAGTCAAAGATTATTTATTCCACAGGTAAAATAAATTTACACTTGAAATCGTCACATTTAAGCTACTGCTCGTTCACTACGCTGACCTCCCTGAGAAGAACGAGCAAGAAACTCTAGGGATTGCTCTTTTCAAATAAACTTAAATGCTATGGAATACACTTTGAATCAAATTTGTGTGGATTCTGGAGCCATGTCGTCTTGTCATACATCTTTATCTAACACGTAGTCTTCAATTTTGTAATATGATTTTTCGATCAAAATATTTTTAATGTAGTTTTTAAATTTAGGAAATGATAAACTTAATGTATGCTCCGGAATCTTATTGTAAAAACGTATACAGAGAATTGTTATGTAAATTCATTTGGGAGAAAGAATTTAAATTGATACTTCTTGAAAGCAGTAGTTTTTGTGAAACAGTTCGTCCAGGGCAACACCTTACCTATTTCTGCCGCCAAGCAGTAATATAAGCATTAATGCGTTCCGGTTTTGAAGGGTACGGGTGTTGGTGAAGTTATAGGCACATAGGACTTTACAACTTAAGTCTCAGGGTGATGAGCGCAGTGGCAGTGTCCCTTAGATCTTTGTGATTTAAAGCTGAGTGGTACTGCAATTGTTATGGACAGGTGTATCGCTTACCATCAGGCGCACGACTTGTTCGTCCCGTTATTTCGTTATTATTGAAAATAGAATGTAAATTTAGTCAAAGTCTACAGTGGTGTTGATAAATATGTATGCTACAGTTTTGTGATTGAGAGAGTAACCTTGCCAACATAATAACCTTTTGTATGAAATAATAGTAGTTTATCTGGCTGTTATATAATGAAGAGCATTAAAACACGTGTGAGGGTTTACGAAACGAGCAGACAGGCGAGTTTCATAAAAACATCTCACGAGTGTTTTAATGCCTAATTATGTACAATTACATACACTGCTTTATCTGTACACATATTTTAAACTCTCTGTGATGTGTTCAGGAACCGCATGTTACGACTGGCGAAATGGCGGCAAATAAATTCATAGACAAACTAGAATCGGCCACATTTCGAGTAAAACTTCATCTCGACTGATATTAGAATTGAGGTCCAATCAAATTGTTTTGTTTATCATAGATGTTCGAAATTTGAATGTAATAATAACATCGAATTCGATGTTAATAAGAAGCAATAATAATATTTTCATGTAAGAAATTTGTTCTAACAAAACAGTTTACCTTTATGCTGGCCGTAATTTGTGGTTATCGAACACATTATAGAGAGTTTATGATATGTGTGTAGATAAAATAAATTAGATTATTACAGATACACGAAAATAGTACGAGTTAAAAGTTAAATGCATATTTATTACATCTGCATGTAACCTACCCAGTGTCTGTGTCGATTAACGCTACCTAGGGTATAAATATAATACAGTTATGTATAGAAGACGTAAATAAATTATTGCTTTGTTATATGTGGCGATGTGTGAAACATGTTTTGAAATTAAGCGTTTATAAAAGAAGGGGCACGTGATTATTTTAACCGACTTGAAAAAAAGGAGGTTCTCAATTTGACAGTATTATTTGTGTGTATGTTACGCGATAACTCCGGGGTTTGTGAACCGATATTGATGATTCCTTGTTGTCTGTTGGAATGGGGGCACGTCAATGGTGGTGCCAAACAAGGGGGTGAATGACTTTTGAGGTAGGTTTTTTTAATAGGTACTCTGTACTGAGATTGTATAAGGTAAGGAAATTGCACTTGAAATTGTCATATTGATTACACTCGACCATGTACTCATTCGTAAGGCAGAATAATATAATCTCAGTACAGAGTACTAAGAAAACCGACCTCAAAAGTACGTGGAATTACGTCAATTTGCTATGTTTTATTGAAATATCCCCTAGTTCGCCACTATACAGGACTTGACACTGGAGATAATAAAAATAGGTTCTCACTACGACACTACTTAAAGTATATTGAGAGAAAAACGCCTTGAATTGGAGAAATAGCAAAATCAACCATTAAAGTAATTGCTCCTAAATTAAAATTGGGCGCTATTTATGAAAATGAAACTTCATGCGTGAACAGCCACCCTTCGAGGTGGATGACTTTCTTCAAAATGAAATGGGACCACTATGGAAGTACCCCCTTTACAACAAAAAAGAATCATGAAAATCGGTTCACAAATACCGGAGTTATCGCGTAACATACACACAAAACAAAAAAAAGAACATACAGTCGAATTGAGAACCTCCTCCTTTTTTGAAGTCGGTTAAAAATGATCCAAAACGAGTTGCTTTTTATAATTAATACAATACAATACAAATATTGTTTATTGCATACGGACAAATACATAATAACAATACAAAAAAAGTAAAAATTACAGGTACAAAGGGCGGCTTTATTGCTAAATAGCAATATCTTCCAGTCAACCTTCGGGTTACAGGAAAAACAGTATAATATAATGTTTTGTTGTACACATTTATCATCTTACAATATTTATTACAACTGCCTCGGTCGTCAAATGGTTACCATGCGCATGGCATATCAGCATGGTAACCGTTCGGCCATGGAAGCAGATGGTAGTGTCGCTCCGTAATGCTGCTTATTTATATAAATATGTCTAATTTAACTATACCTAACGTAGATGCAGACTACTTAAATATCGAATCCGGGATCTCTACGTCCAGCATGGTTACCGTACAGGCACATGGGTACTTGGTATTATAAAAAAAGGAAACTTGCAAATATCTGTTTACAAAATCTAAACTTTCTGGTTCTCATAGGAAATGAAACTATTATCCGGATTTAAATAGCCTATATTTGTTTTTTCAAACATACCACGGACGGTTCTGGCCCTTTATAGGTCTCATGGTCACAGTTGACTGAGGTGGTACAGTCATCAACCAGTTATGTCTAATATCAATGCAAACCACCCTATTTTTTCGCTATAGTTACAAAAAAATTATTAATTAAATACCTTATTTTTAATTTCACAAAGTAAACATTCCAATTTACGCTACATTACGTTTTGCAATTTAATTTATTCCATGAATTTTTATTAAGTGAAATATTTTATTTTATTACTCTGTGTGGTGCCGGCCTAGCACAGCACCACCCCCTTCTCATCCTGTGGGTGTCGTAAAATGCGACTAAAGGAAAATTGTCAGAAGAAGACGGGCAGCAGCGTCTACTACCCATCTTGGCCAGAACTGCGATCGTCAACCCGCCTACCAAGCGTGGCTATTATGGCACAACCTCCCCTATGGTACACACACCAAACAATTGGCCCCTAGTCCCCGGCAGTCCTGCTCTTCCTAGTCACGGTAGCAGCTTTGGAAACAGGGCATGGGGTGCGAAGAATCCCAGGGGGAGACCCGGCTACCATCAACGACGACGACTGTACCCGGCAACCTACAACACGCGCACATTGAGGACCGACGCAAAGCTCACAGAATTGGAAGAAGTTATTTGTAAGTTACGCTGGGATATCATTGGGCTATCTGAAGTCCGAAGAGGGGGGGGAGGATTCGATAATCCTTAATTCCGGAAACTTACTGTACTACCGGGAGGGCGACCAACAGTCCCTTGGCGGTGTCGGGTTTATTGTCCACAAGTCCCTTGTTAACAACGTGATTTCCATCGGAAGTGTGTCGACCAGAGTGGCATACCTGATACTCAGAATATAAAAACGATATTTGTTGAATGTCATTCAGGTTTATGCTCCGACCTCGACACACCCAGATGCCCAGATGACGAAGTGGAGGCTATATATGAGGATATCTTAAAGGCCATACATAGCTACAAAACCCACTACACGGATGTGATGGGGGACTTCAATGCAAAGTTGGGAAAGCGTTGCGGTGATGAGCTGAGAGTGGGGCAATTTGGAGTTGGACAACGGAACGCCAGAGGCCGGATGTTGGTTGATTTCATGGAAAAGGAGAACCTCTATATAATTAACACCTTTCTCAGGAAATCTCCAACTCGAAAATGGTCCTGGATGAGTCCGGACGGTAAAGTAAAAAATGAGATTGACTTTATCATGTCGACGAAAAAGCATATATTCGTGATGTCTCTGTGATCAACACCGTTAAAACAGGAAGTGATCACCGGTTGATACGAGACACATTGAATATCAATATCCGGCTGGAAAGAACTCGACTGATAGAGTTTACGCTCCGACCAATACCTGCACAACTCCAAAACCCCGAGAGCTTTCAGCTCGAACTTCAAAACTGCTTCGAAGCCCTCGAAAACTGCATAAATGTGGACGATCTAAACAACATGGTGGTGGATACCGTCCGTACGGTTGGGTCCAAGTTCTTCAAAACCCATCGTACCAGAATAAAGAAACTCTCCGACAAAACACTCCAACTCATGGAACATAGAAATGAAATGCAATGGCGATGCAGCAATGGGCGCCGTATAGCTGAATGATGATGATGAAATGTCTTATTAATTAATAATATAAATTAGAATAAATTAAAATGTATTAATTAGTATTGTAGTCTTATGTCTGTTTGAGATTTTCCATCAGAGGAAATACTGGATCCCAAACTAGTGGTACGGAAAAACCATCTTCCCTGTAGAAATTAGGATGTTTTTTAATTTCAATGGCCTCTCGCAGCATCCTGGGAGATAACGGACTTCTTTTGCAAGAACCTGAGGTTTGTCAAACTTCATTGAATGTGTTCTTTTTAGGAGAATGCCTTATGAATGAGAGAATAGTAGCATTGAATTGAAGTGACGATCAAGTGTAAATAAAGCCTATGGAATGAAAATGAATGTGACGCCTTCGACGTAGGTACTTATTTCCACCGGTTCCATTACCACGCGCACGTGGAAGTTTCCAATTTAATCCAGGATGTATTGCAAATTTTTTACAGTTATTTGTTTTAAGTAATATACTAATAAAAAATACAAGGTCTTATGATTTTTTTTCTAAAATTTTATCAATAATAAAATTACTATGCGGAAGTTTTATAAAAACGAGATTAAGTTGTTACAAAAAGAGTGTTAGTTTTTTGCCTTTTTTATTTCAACAGTTATATAACATACTATACAACGTATTTATATAGAATACTTAAATTATAAACTTAGAATACTTTTTATTATATATACAAAAATATTGTCCCAAAATGCGACACTAAACTTCTCGATAGGGATAAATATGTTTCCGCAGTGAATGTGTCTTGTAAATTTCAACGGTTAAAAGTGTCCTTAAAAAAATAAAATCACTCAGACTCTTAAAGTTCCAGGTATAGACAACATCAGTGCACAAGATCTAAAAACACTGGATTGTACAATAGCCGAAGAAGAAGAAGAAGCTTGCCTTATCAACTCATCTGTCTGTCAAATCACGTATCCACAAAATCTTAAAAATGGAATAGTTAGCCCAATACATAAAAAGGGTAGTCAAAGTTGTTACTATAACTAGCGTCCAATAACAATACTTCCAACCATAGATAAAATAGTAGAAAAAATTACTTCCAAACATATACACTCTTTTTATAAAAATAACAACATATTAACAGACAAACAGTTTGGATACCAACCAGACAAAAGTGCAACACAACTTCTTACTAAATTTACTGACACTGTCTATGAGCATCTCAATAATAAAAAACATATTTTAGTAATGTTTATCGACTACAGTAAAGCATTTGACACTTTGAAACATGACACTCATATTGCGAAGCTTAATCAATGCCGCATACAAAGCCTGCTAAGTAATTGGTTTCAAGATTATTTGACGGATAGGTCATATGTTGTCAAGATTGAGGATACTGTGAGTAAAAAGATGATGGTCTCTAACGGCACAGCGCAAGGATCAGTCCTAGGTCCGTTACACTACATTACTACATTACTTACGTGAACGATTTAGTCAATCTAATCAAGAATTGCGAAATCTATTGTGCCTCATAGCAGCTAACAAGGACCTTAACGAAGCCCTGAAACATTTACAATTGGACTTTACGTTACTGACGAAATGGTCTTACGATGTTGGTCTTGTCCTGAATGCTCACAAGAGTACATTAATGTATATTAGTTCTAGCCAGAACAGAAGACCTCATAATTTGCAACTGATTGCTCACAATCACACATACTGGCAAAATTAGCTATTGCCAAAAACAAAATTCCTTATTCGACGCTACTGTTCCTGTATAAGGCTTTAAGTGAAACAACAATATATTATGGACTTAGTAGTTATGGTAGAACCTGTAAATCACATCTTGATCCCATATATAGATTGCAAGTGAGAACGCCTAGCAAAATTAAAAATAAATATCAAGCTAACGATTTATAATTATTATGTCATTTCAAAATTATACCCATACACGATCAGGTCAAATACATTCTGCGTTTGGAAAACTTCTTCAATCAAAATTTACAAAATATCTTTATACCAAAACTAAACACCCGAAGTGCGTCAAAAATTCCATTAAAAATACCAAAGTATTAAAATTTATATGGAAAACAATTACCTACTACAATATCAAGTACTATCTATATCAATAACAAGAACTACCTGTACAACTCAAAGCTGAAATTAATGAACCCAACTTTAAACATAAACTAAAACAGTATTTTTTTAAATAACTCAAAGTGTAATAAAAAATTAAGTTAAGAATGCAACAAAAAAAAAATAACTCTGGAATGTGTGACGTATTGGTGCACTGTGAATATTTTAAATCTAGAAACAGCAGATGGGACTGATACCTACCCACATGTTTGTTTTTTATTTGTCATTATTGTTATTTTACTTGCCATTTAACTAGCAAGAATTTAGTTAGATAATAGTACAAATGAGTCACGTTAGCGTAATAAAATTATTAATATTATTTTTTTGTTTGTATTCTTCTTTACTGTTATTGTTTTTTTTATTCGTTTAGTTTGTGACTTTTAATTTATTTACCGCGATGGTGAATTCCGGTGCACGGTTAAACCAAAAATGGTTTTTGTTACACCGTTAGCAGCCTAGATTTAAGTCCTTGTTTTTGTCTCTATACTACACACAAGGATTTTTATCTCTATACTATCAAACGATTAAGGTCTTCGCTTTGGTTACGAGCTCTATCAGTTTAAGTGACAATAAAACAGTCTCAGTACAGAGTGCTAAAAAGCAGTCCTCAAAAATTCGTGGAATTACATCTATTTGCCAATTTTTATTGAAATCGGTAACCGGAAAGTGCACGAAATCAGATTCATCCCCTAGTTTGCCACCCTTAGAGGTGGTATATTTACTTCAAATTTAAAAGGGACCAAAACTGCCCTCTTTCCAACAGAAAAAGAATCATCAAAATCGATACACTAAGTCCGAAGTTACCGCGTAACAACATACAAAAAATAAAGAAAAATACATACAGTTTAATTCTGAACCTCTTCCTTTTTTCGAAGTTGGCTAAAAACAGGCCACAGCGCGTTAGAAACAACTAAAGAAAAACCATAGACCTCACCAGTACTCAGAGAAACAGCTTCTACGGTTCTAATGGGCATTTTTATTTCGATCCTCACCGCCGAGAAGTCAAAACTAACACCAGCTTTGTGACGGTGCATTTTAAAGTACCCCGTACCGTACAGATTGTTTGTCCCACGGTAATACATTTGCATTGCTAAGTTATATGTTGCGACACCAAGTGACGGAACTTGCACCCGTCACCCTGACACAAAAGTCAACAAGTCCCATGTGCCTGTAACTTCACCAGCACCCTCTTCAAAACCGGAACGCAGCAAAGCTCACGATTACTGTTTGATGGCAGAAACAGGCAAGGTATTTTACAGGGTTAACTCTTTCACTAGGAGGTTTATAGCCGTTAAATTGTCTTCGGAACCTGTTGTCATTTTGAATGTTACTAATATATTTATTTTTATATATTTTGTGAAAGTATTCCACAAAACAAAACTTTCTTAGATCTGTAACTAACGAAAAACTGCCTCTGTGGCCGAACGGTTACCATGCTGTGCCTAACTGCGATGCAGAGGTCCCGGGTTCGATTCCTTGGAAGTGATAAATATATGTATAGCCTATATTTTGTTTCTTTCGAGAGTTTGGGTGTTATTTGTGGTTGTTTATGTGTGTGTCCATGGCACCCGCGACACAAGGTTTCCCTAGTGCGGGGCTATGACGAGTGTGTGCGTTATTATTATTACGACTTACTTCATGTGTAGTGTTTTTTGTATCCTAAAGAAGTAAAATAAAAATATGATAACAATGTTTTTTTTTAAATTACATAATTGTTTTATTATCATATAATATCATAATTACCTTATATTATAACTTTAAATTGTGTAGCCATTTTGTAAATTACCTCAAAATCCATTTCCTATATAAGTAGCTCCTCGTGAAAGAGTCCATCCAGGAAAGTATTGCCATCTTACCTATTTCTGCCGCCTGAGTAGTGTGAGTATTACGGCGTTCCGGTTTTGAAGGGTAGGGGTGCTGGTGAAATTACAGGCACATGGGACTTGTCACTTGGCATATGTCTCAGGGTGACCCTCTGGTCTTTGCGGTTTAAAGCACCGATTGGCACTGCAACTGTTATGAACAGGCATGTCGCTTACCACCAGGCCCACGAGTTGTTCGTTCCGTTACTTGGTATATTATAAAAAAAGTTCGCTTTCTGCAATTAAATATTCTGAATGGAATTTTTGTATCAAATTACATGTAAGTATATTACGTTTTTGGTAATTCCTGTATTTTGAAATAATTAAACTCAACTGAGATTTTTCTCCGTAGCATCCGCATCCGCAAATTTTCTTCAAACAGAAAACACGACTTTGTACTTTAAATTACACGTATTATGATATGAATCATGATAATTCAAAGTTCAAGGGCTTTTTATTAAAGTACATTTTTATCTAAAGTATTAAGATGTCAGTAGTAGGTAAAGTAACTCTTCAAGAAAACGGCTCAACGCCAGAAGTATGAGTAACCCACATAGGTACGGTTGAAATGAAATAAAATATTTATTCGCAAGCAAACACGGTAAGAAAAGATATTATTATACAAGGTGTCAAGAACACGTGTTGCACCAGATACTGGCACGCAAATGTTAAAATACATCGAAGTTAAATAATGTCATAAATGAAAATTATACAATTTGTCAAATAAGCAATGTCGTATAAAATTAAGTAAAAATGCCAATAAATAGCAACAGCAACAACATCATAAATTAAACAATATCAAAGAAGTAAGAACAGCACAAATATAAACAAAGTGTCAAAAACAAACAAAATGTCAATTTCTTTTTATTATTAAAAAATCTTTGATATCGTATAAACACAGATCTAGAATAGCAAATCAAATAATTGTTTTTTTTTAAATATTTTGATAGGTAAATCTGCCATAGCTGCAGGCAAAGCATTATATATTTGTATGGACATGTTATGCAATTCCTATAAAAGCAAGTAGTCTTATGGGAGGGGCCAGCTATGCGGTTTCACGTTTCCTAGTAAATAAGACCAAGTTTTTTTTAACAAACATGCATACCTCATATACGTACATGGCGTACGTATACAAGCGTTAGAAGAATTAGCTTTCTAAAAAACGGTCTACAAGATTCGAGCGGACCTACTCTACATATAGCTCAGACACATTTTTTCTGGATAGCAAATACACGGTTTAACTCAGTTCCCCCAGATGATGCCATACCGCAAGCTTAAGCAGACAAAATGAATGCAAAATGCATGGTAGGCCATCAAGGCAATCCTCTGATCACACATGTGCGTTAGACGATGTAAACCAAATACAAATCGATTCAGCTTTGCACATATTGAATCAACCTGTGGTTTCCATGTTAGTTGAGAGTCCAATACTATGCCGAGAAAATTGCTGGATGAGCATTCCACAATTTCATCTCCATGACAACTTACAGAGAGATTTTGGGGCTTTCCATTATAATTATAAAATTGTATGAGCTTTGTTTTTGAAACATTTACTTTCAGGTTATTTCTCTTAAGCCAGTCAGTAATATTACATATAGTGTCATTTATTTATTTTTCATAATCTATGTCAGAATTCTTATTAATAATGATTGATATGTCATCTGCAAAAAGAGTGCATGGATATTTTGTCATTTCAGGGAGGTCATTAACATATAATAAAAACAGCAATGGACCTAAAATACTTCCTTGAGGCACACCGTATATATTAACTTTAAACTCTGATCTGTGGGTCTCAATCTCATTATTATTATATTATTGTAGTTGAATAAGTTCACTACCTCCACACACTGAGTTCTGTTGCTAAGGTAACTTGCTATCCAGTTATGCACCTGGCCACGAAAACCGTATCTTTCTAATTTGGATAGTAGAGTTCTATGGCAAACGCAATCGAAAGCTCTACTCATGTCAAATAAAACAGAACAGACAGGTACTTTCTTATCTGCAAAAGTTGAGATATCTTTGATTACCCTGAAACATGCCTGTGTGGTAGATTTTCCCTTTTGAAATCCAAATTGCTCTACTTTAATAATGTTGTAATTTGATAGGAAAGCCGTAATTCTTTTATGCATTACCTTTTCAAAGGGCTTTGATGTTACAGATATAAGTGCAATAGGTCTGTAGTTTCCCAAATGGTCTTTTTCGCCCGTCTTAAACAGCGGTTTTATTATGGAGATCTTAAGAGGCGATGGAAATGTACCCTCCATGAAGGACAGGTTTACCAAGTATGCCAGCAATGGTGGTAGTTCATCAGCACACAATTTAAAAACCTTAGTGCACACGTCATCGTAACCGGTAGAGTTTGTGTTGTTGAGGGATTTTATTAAAATTTTTATTTTCGCTTGCTTTTATTTCAGTGGGATATAAAAATAAACTAAAAAAATATCGTTACTATCTTGTCCCGGGTCCGTAGTCGATAAGCTTAAATTTTAAAAATGAGTATTAAGCTCTGATGCTATCTCTCGCGGATTTTCAATCTTAATTTTATTTACGGTAATGTGTTCAATAAAATGTTTGTCACGTAAATGTTTGTCCTTGTTGTTTATTATGTTCCAAGTAGCTCTATTTTGTTTTTAGCATTGACCATGTATCTATTATTACATTGCTTTTGAGCGGCAATGATCTTTTAGTGATACAGGACTTTCTTATTCCTTTTGACAGCCATTTTCACTGAAAAGTCTCTCTTCATTTTAAACAGTGCTTAATTGATTTTTGACGCGAAGTTATAGGAAAAGTTAAAAGTTGAGCCGTGTTGTGGTCTGATAAGCAGACTGGTAATGTTTTTCCAACAGCATTAGCAATACTACTAGCGATATGATCTATGCAAGTGTTTAAGCGAGTCGGTGTGTATATATGTAAGTTCACATTGTAGCTTTCTAACAAAGTTTTTAGGTCACGTGATAATTTATTGTCAGTTAATGTATCCACATTCCAGTCACCTGTCAATATAATTTTTTATTCGTTTTATTTTTTAGTTATCTAGCAATAAATCTAATTTTTCAAAAAATATATTAATATTTGAGTTGGGGATTCTATATATGCAGGTTACTAACAATTTATGTTGCATAATTTCTATTCCACAGCATTCAAAGCTTAATTCCAATGCAAGATCTTGAAGGAATGTTATGGGTCTTGCCTCGATGTTTCTGTCATGCATTATACACACACCCCCTCGTCTTTTATTATGTCTGCAGAACGACGAACCCAGAGAAAGAGAAGAAATAAAGAACATCAATAATTTTTTTGTTATTACATAGGTCTGATAATGTGATTTCCAAGAAGTCTTTTTTGCTTAAGAAACCCGCTATGTTTTGATGCATGACTCGAAAATTGCAATAAGTATCTATAAAAAAGAGAAAGAGTCACAAACATCATTATCAACAAGCTTAAATTTTTAAAAATTTGGCGAAGACCTGTGTTATTCAAATTAAAAACAGTAAACATGCGATTATCGTACGTAAGATTCTTATTCGAGTCCAGTACATAAGCGTATTCATGAGTCAAATTGTCACGATAGAGTAAATTGTTAAATGTGTCAACCCGCTCGTTAAATAATATGCTTGTATTCGACCCGTGCCTGAAAGTTGGTAAACATGTGAACACATTGGTATTTTGAATTTTTAACAGTTCAGTCCTGAGCATACTAACTAACATTTTATAGTCCATACTGGTTTCAAAATCCTTTTCCCCTATCATCATAACGCATGAGTCATACAGTGTATAATTTTTCACTTTCTTCTCTAAATTTGTCAGTAGCTGCTGAAGTCCCACATTTGGTGTCAAGTAATGGCAAATTTTTGTATTCAGGATGGTAGATGTTGCTGTCTTTAGAATCTTGTTTCTCTTATTGCTGCTAATAATACACATATTGCGTTAAATATGTCGAGTATCGTGTTTTGGCGGAGTACTTTGCAATTTTGGTGAACTAGTAGCGCCATCTTGCGGGGAGTAGTGTTTATTATTATTCATAGTTATACTCTCTGAAGTTGAAAAATTCAAAGTTTTCTTTTTAATTTATTTTTATTCTTTTTTAGAGTCGAGCAACGGCTAATGGGAGTAAAAGTATGTTTGCTGTTATGTTCTGTCCATATTTGCTTAAGTTGTTTATTTTGTAATTCCCGTTTTTGTAGTTGTTTTTGTAACGTCGCATTTTCCTTAAGCAAATTAATAACTTCGTTGTCCGCTGCGTCCAGTTTCTGATTCAGCCTATTTATTTCAGTGTTTAAGTCCTGTGAATAACTTTCAAGACAAGATCTAGGCCCGGGGCAGCTTCTATTTAAGTCAATTGAGTTTGATGATATCTCAGTTTCTTCGTCATCTAAAGAGCTGAAGGAGTTCTCAGTAGACACGTTTATGACGATTTTTTTGCGATCTGTAACTTTTTCGTTTTCTTTATGAAAATCCAACGAACATGATTGAAATTTCCAGGTTTTTTTATTATCTGTAGTCATCAGGTGAAATCTTTTTTTCCGAAATAATGTTTGTTTGAATTTTCATTACACCGAAAACCGAAATAAAACCAAACCGTTGTTCTTTCAGGAAATGTTGGATGTTTCGCAAAGACACGATTAGATTCGGTTAGGTTAGCTTAAGTTAGGTTTAAAAGAAAAAAACATTTTCCTCTCAAAATTGCTTTCGAGGTTATGAAAATTCGAGAAAACATTATTTCTGGAAAGTGTCATTTCGGACTACTGATAGGTAACCAGGAAAACCCTGTGTCGCGGTTGTCATATGGCGGTGTGGGTTGCCATATGAACATACACATAGACAACCACAAATTACATGCAAACTCAATTTATGTAGGCCATACAAAGATTTCTCCCGGCCGGGGAATCGAACTTGAAACCTCTTCGTGGCAGTCCAGTATGGTAACGGTTCAGTTATGGAGGCAGTTATTATAACGATTATGTAATTATTTTTTTTTGTGTATAAAGTTAATGATTGTATGGTTCTAAAAATATATTCTAGAGGTATTTCTGCCAGTGAACATTGGCTGATATAGTAGGTTCTGGTATATTTTTTGCTTGGTTTTGTTATTGTTATTTATTTGTGCGGAAACCTGTTTATTTGGGATTTCACAAGTACGACCGGTTTATTATAGTTAATTAATAGTTTAACTACAAAAGGGATAAAATCTTTCGGGATGAAATCAATTTTATCTGAAGCTGGAATTGTTATGTAATTTCTAACATAGTTGGTACTTTAACTTATGTTTTTTTTTATTATTGATACAGTGATCTAACAAACATAAAAAAATTCCAAGTGGACTCGAACCAGCGTCTGTCGTCTCAACATGGCTACCGCTCTTACCAACTGAAGATCTATCCAGCAGATCTTACGAATTTCTCTGTTAGGGTTAAAACAACTTTTTTTGCCGTACCCATGAGAACTTATAAAAGTTTCTTCACTCAGCTGCCTTTACAGATATCAGCGATTGACAAGAGATGTCGTTATATTATTGAATATCATAATGTTTTTACTACCACGATTTTCATTATTTTATGCCTAAATACTCCGTTAGTTTGCTTTTATAATTGATATAAAAAGATCGAATAAACACTTGTTTATTTATGTAAAAGATCGAACAGTTTTCTTCAGCAATATCTTTTTTTTACAGAAAAATGTCAAAGCCAGTAACAGTGAAGCCTTTTCCGGTGGAGGAGGAGTATAAAAAGAAAAACGGCATTACACCAGAGGACATAAGCGTGCTTCGGCAGTGGCTTGACACTCAGCCACACTTACCTGGGGAATTACTTGGTGGTTTGTATACTTTATGACATTATCAGAGATTGATATATGAATTGAAAATATTTTTCGCATCTAAATTGCGTATATTTGTTTTTTTTCAAACAAGCCAACGTTTCGGGCCCTTTACAGGTCCCATGGTCACGGCATTATGTGGTCTGTGGTCACGGCTGTCTGGGTCCTGTAAAGGGTCCGAAACGTTATTTTGTTTGAAAAAGCAAATATATATGAGATTTAGATCTGAAAAGCTGTTTCATTTTCAAACAACTAAGAACTCGAGAAATAGAGATATTTATAAGGAAAGAACGACTGTATTAACTTGAAAAAATTTTTACCACTGTTTTTTATGTACCGGTGAATAGATTTATTACTTTGCTAACGTTGAATAAGTGAATGAAAGAAATGCCTGTAACTTCACAAGCACTCTTACCATTCAAAACTGGATCGCAGTAATGTTGACATTACTGCTTGACGGCACCGATAGGTATGGCGGCGTATTTCCAAATTCAAATTCAAAATAATCTTCATTTCATAGATAAGCGTTATGACACTTAAAATCGTCACAATGGTTAAACTCTACCGCTCATTCGTAAGGCAGATTCCCTTGAGAAGAATGAGCAAGAAACTGTAGGGGTTGCTCTTTGTAAATAACATTTACAATATTTTTTTTTATTTGAAACATCAGAGATCGAGTCTACCTCCATGAGCTAAACGGGTTACTACCACGGATTTTTGTCATCCAAGTACGCAGAAGTTCTATAATAACCTTTAGTATAAAGTTTTTGTTTCACTATATATATTTACTATATTTCCCTGGACGAACTCTTTCACAAGGACCTCTACTGCTACTACAGTATATGTATGTATGTTTTAAGGTGTGGAGTAATTAAGTGCCTTGCTAAGTCATAAATATCTGCTGTAAATTAAGCCATTATGGAAGCAATTATTTGTTAATTACTATTTATACCATTTAAAACATGGGTCTCAACTTTTACGTCTCTTAAAAGAATCCTGTCAGACTGATTTGTGGAATTTCTAAAAATTAATTCTATTTAAAGTATACACTTTCAAATTTCAACAAACTACTAAAAGGCACAACTGAGGGTTTACTCTAGAGATGAAACGGATATCCGGTAACTATCCGGTATCCGGCCTATCCGGCCATTTTGACTATCCAGCCGGATACCGAATAGTAGAATAATATCGGGCCGGCTACCGGATGTTTAAAACTGAGAAAAATTAATTATCATATAAATTTAATTATTGATATAAAATTGATAGTAATGGGATAAATAGCAACTACAGGATCGTTGACAATCTGTTTATTACTTCTAACTGAAAGAACTATGAAGATAAATAACGTTATCTGTAATTTTTGTACTCAAATTCCAATAAAGGCAAATTATGGTGGATGAAGACTAGTTTCCGTTTTTCTGCATTAAGTGGTAAAAATTGGTTTTATTTATTTTCATAACCGAGACCAGCTGCAGAGGACAGTTTTTCACTATAAACTCTAGCACACTTTGTTAAATTTTAAGTACAAAGTACTTGTTATTGCCAGACGACCAAATGAAAGGATTGTGATCACGATCGATTTGAACTGTCTTCAAATACAATGTGTACCTATAATAATGAAACGTGTAAGTAGATTAAAATATTTTTTTTTTAGCAAATTTTGAATCAAAGCTCAGAATTAGTTAAATCACAGGCAAATTAACGGAATCAAATTGAAACTAAATAATTTCGGCCGTTTCAAGTGCTAGGCCATAGTTTCCCAAAGTGGTCCCTACCAGTGGGTGCTGAAGAGTCCTAGGGCGGTGTGGGCCTTGGAAGCAATTGGTGGCGTTCATGCTGTCCAGGAGTTACTACCACATTTGAAAAAAAACCTGAATTATCTATATAAACTTCATTACTTTTCCTTCTGATTTTTCGAGTCATGCTAATGTAAAAAATACGTGCTTTTAATATTTTTTGTGGCGATGGGCGTTGAAACTTTTTATCTTTCCTAAATGGGCACTGTGCCAAAAAGTATAGGAACCTATGTGCTAGGTTTATACTTATAAAAACTAAAAAATGTAATATAGCCAAAGGATGATATAATTGCTTTTTTCCTTGTCCACTGCGCGATATGCACATATCGATGTGCCAAATTTGCAATTATTTTCATTGTTAACATTTTTCTGTTATGTATTTATTTGTATTATCGAATAAATTAATTGTTTTTGTAAAAACCAAGTAATCATACCAAATCAAATCGTCAATGTGAAAGTGCAATCATTCACAAATCAATCAATCACGGCGATGCGTACCGTCAATCGGTTGCGACATGTTTACGGCAGTGGATCAAATATCGGCGGTCGGATATCCGGCTATCCGGCCTAGATGCCCGCCGGATATCCGGTATCCGGTATCCGGCCAAATCACTATCCGTTTCATCTCTAGTCTACTCGCGTTCTCCGTGTGACATCCCTCCGAAACAATTACTGTCAAATAAGTAAAGCTCGATCAAATCAAAAGGCAATATCAAGTATGAAGCTTCATTCGTATCTTGTATCGGATTAAGTCGGACGGAAAACGAGTATACAAGGCCTAGACATTGGTTTCCTTTTTTGGACGCATAAATCAAGCTTTGTACAATGTCGGTACCGAAACGAAAATAGGAAATAATAGTTAGTCTCACTGCTGGGTACAGGCCTTCTCACATAATGAGAGGGGGCTTGAGCTTTGGTTCCCGGCGGAATACGTAACGACTGATACCCTCTCCTGGGAGAAGACCTGCACCCAACAGAGGCACGCATAATGAGTTGACGGAGATGATGTTTTAAGGGGTCTACAGACAGGCCAGGGCTGTGATTCCCACGCGGGCCCAATGCGGATTGGGAACTTCACACACATCATTAAATTGCTTTGAAGGTGTGTGCAGGTTATATTATATTAATTTCGCAAATTAAACTCCTGAAAACTCAGATGTACAAGCTCGCATTCGAAGCCACGAGCCTCTTCTCGAAAGACGGTAGGTCATACCATTAGGCTAGTGCAAAACATTGTTCTTCTGTTCGTTATTCCAACAATACCTATGACACATAATAATATATCTAGTATTTCAACTACACATGACAATATGCCTCCCTTCTCGTGATGCTAATAAGATAAATGCAAACTGCAGCAAATGACGACCTTGTGTTTTTTGCTGCATAAGCAATGGTGAAGGTTAGTATCATGTTGCTATGGCATTTAAATTCAATTATAGTAATTAATTTAATTAACACTTGATTCACATTAGTAAATACTACGAAATCGATAGCATGAATCATGTAAACCACAGCAATTCTTCTCATACCCTATGGTTATTGCTTATTACAAGATTGGATCGCATTTCGTTACTAGAACAAATTAAATTTTTGTTATGGCACCTAAGAAATTAACCCGGTCCGAAATGTTACAAGGATTATTTTACTTCTAGATCAGTCACAATATTTTGTTAAAGTGAACGTTTTTAACATCATCATCACGATAAACCTCCTCCTGAGCTCTTAATTCTTCCGGTCCTTTGCCGCCCGCATCCAGCCGCAGCCGACCACCTTTCTCAGGTTGTCTCAGGGCGTCCTACACTACATTTGCCTTGACGTGAACGCCACTCTAGAACATATCTGCTTCATTGGACATCATCCCTCCTGTAAAAATGTCATTTTTAACAAAATTGTATATCTATTTATAAAGTATATCTATTTATATAGAAAAACAACCCTTAGTTTCTTATACATTCTTCTCAGGGGAATTTGCCTTGTTTATATTATGAGTTTAATCATTTTGATTTGCTCAAAAGCGATGATTCCCAGAATAGTCTATATTATTTCCTAAGCGTTCACCCCAATCTACAAGGGGTCCATAAGACGTTAACAGGGGTCCACGAGAGTGGACATATCATTTAGGCAGGTCATAACCAAAATGTAGATGTCTGTCATTAATAGAAGAATCCACATTACACAGATAGTAAGTACATCCTATTCGTCGTCAAGTATTTTTTATTGAAGTATATTATTAGTGATAATTGTTAGTCTTATCAGCCGCTGCGTGTCTTGTGTAATTAACCTGATCGTAACATTTATCATAAAAGATATTTAAATCATATTTTTTCCCACATTAGTGTTCTTTTGTTTTCATTGTTCGCTAATAAATATTTATGTGTCTTGTTACTTTATTTTATTTTATATATGTTTTATTGGACGTTTGATATTTAATTTATATTCCGTTTTGAAATTTCATAAGCTACTAAGGGTACACGTTATGATTCAATTTTTGATAAAGACCGATTCAAGTGCATACAATTTAACGATTTTTTGTATCGATTTATTTCAATGCGGTTTAGAATCGATTCAATAGAAAGGCAAATCGAATCGCCGCTCGTTCGACCGCCGGGACTATATATATAAAAAGTCGGCGCCTGCATATGTCCGTTTGTACGTACATTTTTTATTTAATATAAAATGGTACAAATCTATAAAAACAATGAAATATTGAAATGGAATATTTGTGAACCCGTTTACATAATTTCAGTAGCTCGCTACAGTCGTCTTCATAAACTCTCAAATTCATTTAAAGAGAATATATATTATAATATAATAAGATTCCGATATTCAAAATGTGCCATTTACGAGGTTTAAAACTATAGTGAAACAAAAACTTTATACTAAAGGTTATTATACAACTTCTGCGTTTGGATGACAAAAATCTGTGATAGTGACCCGTTAACTCCTTCAGGCATAGGAAATGAAACTATTTTTCCGGATTTAAATCGCGTATATTTGTTTTTTCAAACAAACCGACGTTTCGGGCCCTTTACAGGTCCCATGGTCAACCGTGAACGTGAAATAGTTTCATTTCCTATGTGTAACAATCGCGAAAACCTAAGAACTCCTTCAGGCATTCTCGATGTAAGATGTTTAAATGAAATATTGTAATGATAAATGTATTAAAATGTATAGTAACAAAGAGCAACTCCTAGAGTTTCTTGCTCATTCTTCTCAAGGGAATCTGCCTTACGAATGAGCGGTAGAGTTTAACCATTGTGACGATTTCAATAATGTTTGTAATAATGCTTACCTATGATATAAAGATTGTTTCACTTTGACTTTGACTTTGAATATTATCATTCCATTTGAACAAAACTCGATTTACAAGAAATATTAATAGTTGTAAATAGTTTATGACCTCGATTTTGGGCATTAATGAGTTTTAACCCGATTTAAGCAAATAATAATAGAATAAATAGGTTCAGGCGTTATTTTGCGGAAGTCCATGTTAATAAAAATGGAAGTAAATTAATTTGTTACTCCGCCAACCCAGTGAGTTTAAACCGTGCAAAATAGCAGCGCTTCTATTGAATATTTTTTCATGTAGTTAATACTAAATAAAGTTAATAAAATAAAAATTACACAGTCACAGATACCACCATACCCTAGGGGTATATTTTTGGTGATTATTTGGTTGGACCCCAGGTCCTTGCAAAAGAAGTCCGTTATCTGCCCAGGATGCTGCGAGAGGCCATTGAAATTAAAAAACATCCTAATTTCAACAGGGAAGATGGTTTCTCCGTACCACCAGTTTGGGATCCAGTATTTCCTCTAATGAAAAATCCCAAACAGACATAAGACTGCAGTACTAATTAATATGTTTTAGTTTATTCTAATTTCTATTAATAATTAATAATAAATTAAACTTAATAGAAATTCATTCAATAAAATAATTTGTAAAATTTAATGTAGCGTAAATTGGAATGTTTTCTTTGTAAAATTAAAAATAAGGTATTTCATTAATAACTATTGTAACTATAGTGAAAAAATAGGGTGGTTTGCATTAATATTAGACATAACTGGTTGAAGACTTTCGGATGCAGAGGATGACATGCCCTCGCTTGAGGAAAGACTGAAGGTTGCTTTCTCATCTCTATCGAAAAACTTTAACGTTGTGCATATTAATGCGCAAAGCCTTGCTAGTCATTATAACGATCTCGTGACATCTTTCACTAGCAAAAACATTCATGCAGTCCTTATTTCGGAGACATGGCTTAAACCTTCCCTACCATCTACTCAGTACCCTTTACCAGGTTTTAGACTCATTCGTAACGATCGAGCCTACACCATTGGATCCCAGGGCGGTCGTATGAGGATGGTTGGTGGAGGTGGCGTAGCGATTTATCTACGATGTGACATTGACTGCGAGATCGTAGCACAGTCGGTAACTAGCGCGGACTCTCCTGAATATCTTTTTTTAGAAGTCACTCTTCACCACACTAGGGCCCTACTGGGAGTTTTTTACAGTCCTCACCTAAGAGTTGACTATTTTGAGCAACTAGAGTCGGTTCTGGCTGATCTACGTACCCGCTACGAACATATTATACTCATGGGTGACTTCAATACCTGCCTTATTAAGCGTGACTGCCGATCGAGGAAGTTGCTTTCACTCTTCCACTCACTTTTTTTGAATTGCCTCGAGTTGTATCCCACTCACTTTCCGCATAATGGTCAACCTTCCCTTCTTGATCTGATCATCACTTCTTCTCCTGAGCTGGTTGATTCTCATGGACAGTTTAATGCTGCTGCTTTTTCTTCACACGATTTAATTTATGCTTCGTTCAAAATTCGTCCACCTAAGCGCAGACATAAAACCTTAATGCTCCGCAATTATGCTAAAATAGACAAAAATGCCCTTTTCGATGATGTGCTGAATTCTGATTGGGAGCTAGTGTTTGGAGCGGAGGACGTGAATGAAATGGTTCAAGCTTTTAACTCCATTATTTTGACCATCTTTGACAAGCATGCTCCTCTTCAAGTTGTCCGAGTCAAACATTTCCCCGCGCCTTGGCTCACGCCAGATATCAAGGAGGTTATGGAGAGGCGCAACAGAGCACGTATCAGATTGCGGAAGAATCCAACCAAAATCAATAGTGAGTCCTACATCGAGTTACGTAACCGCTGCAACAAGCTCTGTAGGAGCGCCAGGCGTAAGCATATTCACTCCACTATCGAAGGTTGTCCGCATACTAAGATGTGGAAATATTTGAAGTCACTGGGTATCGGTAAAGCTGATCATGTCTTTCCCTTCAATGTCGATCTTAACGCGCTGAACGACTACTTTGCATCTTCCCCAGTATGTTTAGATTCTGTCATAAAATCGCGAACTTTATCTGTCCTGGCCAATGCACCTTGTCTTGCTTCAGCTTCTTTTGATTTTGGAAAGGTTACGACAGCAGATGTGTTGAAAATACTTAAGTCTGTCACCACGAAGGCTGTTGGTAATGACGGTTTGAGTCTTGACATGATCACTCCAATACAGGACCTAGTAGCTCCTATCCTAGCTCATATCCTTAATTTTTCCCTTTCCAGTGGTGTGTTTCCCGCTGTATGGAAACAAGCCCATGTAATTCCTCTCCCTAAAAAATCAAATCCTTCTTCTTTCTCCCATTACCGCCCTATCTCCATACTTCCTGTATTGTCCAAAATCCTTGAGCACTATGTCCATAATCGACTCACTAACCACCTCCTACGTTACGATATTTTCAACCATCTGCAGTCTGGTTTTCGAGCGGGCCATAGCACAGTTTCTGCTCTGGTGAAAATCACTGACGACATTCGTCTTAATATAGAAAATAAAAAAGTTACTGTCCTCACTTTATTGGATTTTAGCAGTGCCTTCAGTACTGTTGATTTTAATTTGCTTCTTGCTGTGCTTAGAACTTTAAATCTACCTCCCTTAGCCGAATCCGTTTCGTTCGTATTTATTTGATCGTTCCCAGCTCGTAAAGACCGGTGACATGCACTCGGACTGGTGTAGTCTTACGGCTGGCGTTCCGCAGGGTGGGGTTTTATCACCTATACTTTTTTCGGTCTTTATCGGTGGAATTACATCATCACTCACGTCTTCTTTCCATCTCTATGCCGATGACCTTCAAATCTATACTGCAGCCCGTCTTGAAGATGTAGTTACTGCTATCGGCACATTGAATTCCGACCTACAAAAGGTTTCGGTATGGGCTAAGAACTACGGACTTCTTTTAAATGCACAAAAGTCCCAAGCCATAATTATTGGCAGTCGCCATTCCATCTCCAAGTTTGAGTCTATGGTGATGCCCAATTTAGTTCTGAATGACACTATTATTCCTTTTTCCACTTCAGTTAAAAATTTGGGCATCATAATGGATCAGACACTTTCTTGGTCGGAGCATGTCGCCGATGTAAGTCGTAAAATCTTTGCATCACTTCATTCCCTCAAGCGGATGCAGTACTTTCTTCCTCTGTCTACCAAATTTATGCTAATACGCACTCTTCTTTTTCCTATTCTGGACTATGGTGACGTCTCCTATCTTGATCTTTCGGAGGACCTTCTTAATAAATTGGAGCGGCTGCAAAATCAATGTATCAGATTTGTGTTTGGATTAAAAAAGTACGACCACATTTCCAAGTTTAGAGATGAGTTGAAGTTGTTGCCTATTCGTTTACGTAGAAATGCTCACATTTTATGCTTCCTCTATAAAATCCTGTTCCATCCCACTTCACCTAGCTATCTACGTGAGCGTTTTCAATACCGTCAGGCTATGGGTGACCGCCTGCGTTCTGGCACCAATTTGTCCCTCGTCCTTCCACAACACAGTTCCCAAAAATATTCGAACTCGTTCACAGTAAATGCTGCCCGTATGTGGAACCTTCTCCCGGTCGAGGTCAGACAGTCGCCTTCGGTTCGGGTTTTCAAGGGTGCTCTTTTGAAGTTTTGGGATTGTTCAGACTCCACATGTTAGAGCTTTTGAAATATTTATTTACTTTTGATATATTTATTTATAGTTTTATTTTGTACATTCAATTTATTATAGACTTTGTATGTATTAATGTATCAACATTACTTAATATATATATATTCGTATGTACAGTTGATTTATTAAATTTATCTGTGTATTTATTGAGTATAGTATATTTCATTTCTTTACTTATCTATTTTTAGTGCCACCCCAAAAACCAACTTTCCTCTCAGATTTTCAAAGGTTAGTTGGAAGAAATCTCTTTATGGGATAAGCTCGCCTTTGTACACAAATATTTAAATTGTTTCTGAAAATTTGTAAGTTACTTTGTGGTACAATAAAGTGTTTAAATAAATAAATAAACAAATAAGACTGTACCACCTCAGTCAACCGTGACCATGGGACCTGTAAAGGGCCAGAAACGTCGGTATGTTTGAAAAAACAAATATACGCGATTTAAATCCGGAAAAATAGTTTCATTTCCTAGATTATTTGGTTTATCATAGTGTTCAATACCATAACCGTTTGAATTTCCTAATGCATTTCTGCGTGATATGAAAACCATGTGATTTTCAAGAGAGTGATCAATATTAAACTTTGTTCATTAACATTCTCAGATTTGGACCTGATCCTGACGTACCACTGTTGCGACCGCAGCTTCGAGGTAACCAAGCAAGTGCTCGATTTACATTTCACACTCAGGACTCTCTTCGCGATCACCAAGAACCGCGTAGTCGATGAGAAGCTTATCAGATGTTTACATATTTAGTAAGTCATTTATATTTATAGAATCCTCTAGTTATCCGCTCACGCGATGCGCTCCTCCTACCGCAAAATGGCGGCTATTTGGTTTCGCAAATTAGAAAAGCATTCAGTTTAAATACTAGGAATAGGAAGTTTTTATAAATAAAAATTATTATTCTACATTGCTAAATAAATACCCTCCGTACTACCAACAAAAACATCTCAAATAAAATGCAGTGATACACCGCAAATCTTGCACTTAAAAAGCACTAATGAAATTTTTGGTGTACTTGGATAAATATGATAATATTCCGTTTGAGTGGTTCTAACGTTTACCATGAAATTACTCCGTAAAGTATAGTTTATAAACATTTATATTCAGGGTAAACTTAAAAAACGCTACTTACGGTATGTTTTCAATAAATAAACACCGAAATCACCAGCCCAAACAATAACACACACGATTGTCGTGACGTATTTTTGAAGTTGTTTATTTTTTTAAATGACAGACCCAGGCATTAAAAACTTTATGGTTTGCTAGAGTAGTTACCGAAATAGCAATAAATATTAGTTCTTTTACCTGTTATAACTGTGATATCCGATAAATCGGTATAAAATCATCACCGGCACCTCTAGGTGTGGTATGCGTCTACGGCTGCATGTATCGCGTGAGCGGATAAACTTAATAAATGAACACTTGCTTCTCTTAGAGGTCAACATTTCGAATTTCTTTGATGGCATGTAATGTACCTATTTAGTGTTTAGTTGCAATTCTCTCGCTAACTATGAAATACTAGTAAGTACTAGGAGTTTGGCAGCTGTGGAGGTAGGTTTGTCAGGGGAAGTACTGTCACGTTTTTGACATCAAGCAGTACTGTGAGCATTACTGCCGTATCACACACATCTCTATTATTTTAAGGTCTCACTGATTGAATGCTATTATAACGCGATTTTCATTTATCTAAACTTAATTGAAATGGGCAATACAATAACAAAGCGTTTGCGATAATACGCATACCTCTCGCAATTCGAGTTACGTGATATAATTCTTTTAACTTTAATTATATTAAATAAATAAGTAAGTAGTACTCCAGCGATATCTGGTCTCACATGCGTGGGCAGTAACATCTAGTAATATAAATTTGAACTATTAAGTTAAGCGAGTAAACAAAAACAAGCCGGCGGCCGTGTTGACGTTCGTGTTGGGAAAAATATGAAAAAGTAAGTTCTTGCGCAGTTTTCTTTAAAATTTCTTATTCATTAGGAAGCTATTCCAAGGAGCCATATGGTGGTAAACTTATTTTTTGGTATTCGTCTATTTTTGACGTATTTAGCATTTATTTAAGCACAAGCAAACGGCAGATCTTTTTATGTTATAACGCAATAATTTTGATTTGAAATTTTGAAAGTGTCGTTGCTTAAGTCGTACCCGTGGAAAATTCCTTAATCGCACCAGTACGACTTAGGAATTTATGAAAATTATTTCTTAGTTAGTTTAGCTAAATAATATATTTGTGATATTTGTGTTCAACAAAACTAATTTTGTAGTGCCTTTATTATGTAATATGCCTTTATTTGATTACCGAAGCATGTTAATTTTATTTCAGAAGAATTTTAATTTTATTTAATTAAAATTTATTATAATTTTATTTCAGAAATAATTGCTTATAATTTTATTTCATTGCAATTTATAATTTTATTTCAGAAGAAATTATAATTTAATTTCATTACAAGTCATAAATTCTATTTCTGAAGAGTTTAAAATTTTTGTTTTCTGTGTTCCCCTACACTGGAGATTTTGGGATTGTTCTCTCCCTTCAAAAATATTAAGAATTATTTGATTATAACCTTAGACCCTAGTACCGGTTTCTAGACTTTAATTGTTATTATGATCTCTTTTTATTAGTACTGTACTATACAGTTTATGATGTCTGACTGAAGTGTTATTCTAAGTACGACTTAGGTTATATGTGGTACGAATTAGGCGACCAGGTGTCAAAATCGTACGAAAGGTGCTTTGTGAAAATCTTGTTAATACCTCACTCAATAAACGTTTCTGGTATTGTCATTAAAACACATTGATAGTAAAATAAATAAAGATCCCGTAGACGCTAAAGTTTTGTTTAATTTAAATAACCTTAAATATTACAGCGGTTTTTTCTTAGGGTGTTCGGCAAACGCAACCTTACCCTATGTAAAATAATACCTAAGTATAATTATTATCCAAAGTGGATTTGACAACATCAGAAAAAACGAGAACATCAGAATTGTTATAATTACATTTGTAATGACAATGAAAGACAAAATTTTGTTAGCATTTTTATGATTAGGCCCAAATTAATTTGGTCCATATTTACTACTTTCCACTTTTATGAATTTTATAATTATATAATGTTTCATTAAAAACAAACAGTTTTATTAATATACCGAAATATACCTAAACTTTTTACTTTTCTTTGGTACAGGAACCATTTATAATTTATGTCATACAATATTTGAAATGCCTATTTGCTGTAAATGAATATACATATATGAGATAGCCGTTGACCAACACTTTGATGCTAGTAATGGGCAGGGTCACGTAACTCAAAATAGATGATACGCTTTACATAATATGTATTATTAATTAATGCTTAGAAATAAATGAAATCATAAAAAAATAACGATGACACTTGCAAACATTGACTTACAATAATTATATGGACGTCGGGTCCGCGCTAAAAAGTGTCCGCACTTGTAAGGCGCTAAAATCGTATACAGAGCGCGAAACTCCGCTTTAGTCTTCATTTGTTCGACTGACAGCGCGATACTGCGATGACTTTACAATTTAAATTTCGAATTGGTTGACTTGGGACTTTTTTTTCGTGGTTTTTGTATTAGACCCGTTGTCCATTTATTTGTAAGTCAATGCTTGCAAAGAAAAAAAAGCCTGTTGTAGTAAAAGTTAATTACATCTATTTTATGTTAAACAATTGTAATAATAGTCGAGTGAAACTGAATGCTAATTATTCTGAGTAATTAACTAAATATAAATATGTCAAATAAAGTTTTTTTTTCAAGTGACGTGACGCGCAAGTCGCGCTCCTGTTAGTAAACGACACTGCATTTGCGCCTGTCACCTGAGACAATTTTCTTGACAAAGTTGACAATTCCCATGTGCTTCTAATTTCACCAACACTTTCTTTCAAAACCGAAACGCAGTAATGATGGCGTTACTGCTTGGCGGCAGAAATAAGTAACGTGGCAGTACTTCCCTAGACGAGCTCTTTCACAAGAAGCTCTATTGCGTATAGGAATGAAATAATAAAAAAAAGGTTTAGACGATCGTTAACTGCCGAGCGTTAACTTGCATATGATGCGTGGAGTTGTGGCGATAGATGTGTGTGCACATGGTAGGAATAGATAGTTTATACCCTGATAGGAAAAGGGTGCGTAATGTATTTATGAATTCGCTCACCACATACATATATATACAATCTTCGATCAGGGATATCATTGAGCAAGTTTAGTGCCCGGGTCAGGTTATTTTGGAGGTTAGTTTTCCGGTGCTGCAAGGCGAAAAGACGGGGCTGTCATCGTTGGTAATATAATATTTAATGCTTCGATCTAAAGTCGCTTATTCACTTTATATTATTATTATTTCCAGTCTGACGATTCCTCTGGAGATTCGTTCTCACACTGGCTCAGCCATTTTCTACGCCAGACTTATCGACTACGACATTAAGAAGTTTGTGTTTCAAGATGGAGTCAGGTAAAATTAATAAACATTATTGCGTAGGTAAGATTCGAGACCCAGATTCCTTTGACAAAAATGAGTGGGAAAACTCCAACGGTTATACCTTGTAAATTTTATTCGCATTTAATATTTACTATATTTATATTTTTCTCTAACATATTTCGGAAACGTTTGCATCGTTTTCAAAAAACGAGCACGGAAAGTTTGCCATACAAGGACCGTGCGATTTCTTCCCGGTCAAGGCCTGCAAACTAAGTATGAAAATCCATTACTCTCCGCTACTATATAAGTGGCCAAAAAAGCTCATACAACCAACTGTCCAGTGTTCGTAATTGCGAGAATGAAAAATACCTACCTGCACCACCAAATGATGGTAAAATAAACTAAAGTGCTTTGGTATTCTTTTATTTTTTCATCCTTTTATATTTTCGTCGCGAAAATGAATTCTAGTGATTATGACGATAACCAAAACACAGTAATGGATACACATTCAAACACATCATCAGAAGTTCAGCAAACTACTATTAATGTGCCTGGAAAAACAATAGATTCTTTTAGCTATTGTATTGTCAAATATTACTTTTAATTCTAATTATTGGTATTGGTTTTGGTGCAACGGGCTAGTTTCCGCAACTCGACGTCGAGGC